TCATAAAACCTATTTTAAAAAAAAAAATCAACAAGAAAGTCATTTTTGAAGACAGGATTAGTTTTAAGACTTAACATGTTATACTCTAACAAGGTAATTGCTTTTAAGACAAGAATTTAGAACCTAAACATTTGTGCTAACACAGTACACGTGTCATGTGATGAATATCAGCATAATAAAAAACCACTAACACCTAAGCCAGCTGAATACCTAGAGCAGAGATCTCAAAATCTCAAATACCTCTTCAATTTTCATTTTCTTGGGAGACTCTTCTTTATGGGGAGAAGATGTCCTTTTCACTGCTGTGACAGGGCTAGGCATTTTTGTTGCAACATTTCCTGAAGTTCTTGGTGATGGATTTAATAGATACGCTGAGGAAACAATTCTAGAGATGGTAGGCTTTGGTGGTGGAGAAATGGCTGGTTGTGTGGCAGTTTGAGGAATGCTTTCATTTGAAGTACCTATGGATAAATAATTCAAAAAGCTTCAATACAATGAGTTGACACAACCATTTCAGTTCAATCACTGGTATTTTTGGTCTCTATTCAAAACCACTGGTATCAAGTATGCATCAAGGAAGTGGTACAGTTAGTGGCATAAGCATCACGTTTGGAACAGAGGGTGTGCATACACAGCACAGACTAGCTTCAAGCTCATTCTGAGACAAAATTCTTGCACCAGATACACGGTAGCCACGTCAGTGACACTCTGCCTGGTCTAATTAACCCCACTTAACAGCAGGGTATACTAGCCCAGACAGAGGTCTGTCCTAATATAGATATTATTATTCTTGGTACCCAAAGAAGTTTTACTGTTTCTGTACTCTGCCATATATATACATTGCCAAAGACTGCCATAAATCAAATCCAAGCGCAACCTGATACTCCCTTTGTCACTCAAAGTTTATCATTTCTCAGGCTCAGATTATGCAATGACAGATATGAAGTCATCACAGAGCATCAGATAAAGATCTGACATTCCATACATCCTTTTGAAAAATGCTCCATATGACAGAGCTCTACCTTGTCAATTGCATACCTCAAACCAAGCGTACATATGGAGATGCTCCAGGATGAGAAAAATCACAGTAAGGAAATTTTTCATTAAAAACTATCAAGTGACTGCTTTTGATGAACCAAAATACAAGAATGAACAACTGCTGACATGCTTCCAGATCAAAAAAAAAAACAGTCATGTCATTTAGGCTCCATTTAGTGCTCCTGGACAAACTTACTCACATTGATGCATCTGTGACTTACACTACAATTCAGAGAACAGCTAAGACTCCACCATCCCACATGTCAGAGTAAAATACGAGCTCTCATCTTAAAAGGCTAACCAGTTGGTCCCCTTTTCCATCTATTTCTGACTTGCTCCTTGTATACAGCTAAAGTTCCATCAGAAAAGAGGAGCAGCTGACTCTGCTAAGTGAACATTTTCAGCCCCTGCCTTTGTTTTTTCCCTAAAAAGTCGTTTTTTAATTTTTTTTTTTTTTAGGTATTAAGTGAAGGGTACTTTTTCTTGTAGAAAAAGTCAGCACACACGGTGGGATGTATTTGAAAAGATGTCAGTAAGCAGCCTGTGTTCTACTTACACTTGAGCCTTTTTCATTCCTAGAATCACATTTGTGAAGCACAAGGAGCAGGAACATGGGAGCACAGATGACAGACAGTACAGAACCACCTCTTGGGTTTAAATACAAAATCGATATGAATTAAAAACAAATACAAAAATTGCTCTTCCAGCTTTAGATAGTTTTTCCCTCGTTTGACCAGCTGAACTAGATCTGCCTCAGATCACTGGAATACTATTGCTATTGTGAATGGCAAATATAAATCCCTAAGAATAAACAAACATCGCAGCACAAAATATCCCACCATGATTTCCTGAGTCCTAAAGAAATTAGTTAAGGAGAAGATGTTACAGCATGTGTTAAGTAAAGACCTCAAACTGGAAGAAAAACTGCTTTATAAATATTACAAAAAAATCAATAGAAACAATATACTATCCCATTTTCCTTACCCCCTGAGCTTTCACTGGAATTTATTTGTGGCACAGTGACTTCAGAAGCCTGTATGTTGGTCACAGATGCTGCTGTTACAGCTGGCGCAGGACTGCTTCTGCTAAAAAGAGAAAAATGACGAAATGCTGAACATCAGTAAATCTGTGGTGCTGTATGATCTGCCTTTCATCACATCACACGCATGGCCAGCAACCATAGCTGATAGGACTTTACCTATATTACAGAACAGAACTTATAACACTATGTCACAGTAGGAAGACAGAAATGAGTGTTGGCAATGTATTATTAAACTTGAACAATGGAAGCTATTTCAAATATTTAATCTGAATCATTTCAGAGACTTTTTTTTATATCAGTAAGAAGTTGCATTAAAAAAGGCAAAAATTAAGGCATTGTCTGCCCAAATAAAGTGCAGGAAAAAACACAGCAACTCTTTTCTTGAAGGATGAAACCTTGTAGAAGGATGAGAATAGAAAGTTTGTTTTCAATCTACACACACTATTACAACTATGATTTCAGTCTGGACTTCCCAAGCAAAGGCGTGGGATTTCACATGACAAAAAAAAATAATTGTTTTTTCATTTTCAAGAAACAGGGAAGCAGTATGTGTCTAGGATCAACACAGGGCAATTTCCAGTTCAAGCATGACATCCTATATACCACAGATTTGTTTTAATAGCATGGTCAGTGGCATCAACTATTGGAAATCATTTACTAAGGAAGACTAAAAGAGCACTTGTCAATAGGAATAAGTTTAGTGAACTCAAGTATTTTATCCTACACAAGATCCTATAATATACATCTAATACTGCACAATTGTAGGAGATTGATGTTAACTTCTCTGCATATCAAATAGACAAACATGATACCCCTGTAAGAAGAAAGAATAGAATCCCATTTGCTTTAGCAAACTGAAGTTTAGATAGGAAAAAGACTTAACAGAGAAAGTTAGCGTTAAGATAAACATTGATGTGTACACTTTGAAAATACAATGGGAAGTTATGTTGCTAAGCTTAATTTGCATGGACATCAGTAACAGCAGTAGTACTACTGATCTCCCAGACATAAAGCCTAAACTTCTACTGTCTCACATTTTGATCCATAACTCGCATAACTTCCTTGCTCTCACACGTCAGTTTCCTGCTCACAGCCTCCTACTCCCCCAAGTTTCTGTATCAACTTGTTCTTCTAACCACCTTTACCCAACTTTATAAGTCTTCATCCAAGTCCAATGCCATGCTCCCTATCCCCCAAATTTAGCCCCGCTCTAGTGTTCAAACTGGAAATAAGGACATCTGCAAGCTCCAATTTGGAACATTCACACCATACTTCCTCACACATGCAGTATTCGCTATGCTTTTAACACAAGTAATTCAGGAACTGAGAGCAGCAACGAGACTGGAAGTCTTCATTACCCCTGAGAACTTCCAGAACTGTTCAGTGGACTCGTCTTCATAGCACTAGTAGGCGAAGGCACAGACGTGCTGTTATCACTGTCCATAGACAAGTCTAGGCTGCTGTCATTCAGAGCTGTCAACCTGATCCCTTCCGTCGAATGCTGTAATCCACAAGACAAAAGAAAATTAAGCTAGTCTTGAGGGCCTAAAAATCAACAAAGATTCAACTGATGTAATATTTCAGTTATGCAAAGTGTTAGCTGTTCCATTTGTGAAGAAAAAAAAGAAGAGAGAGGTGATTTAACAGTGGTGAGCTTCCACCATGACCTAAGCATGTATGCATGCCTTAAGTGCAGTTAAAGCACATTTTTAGGAAAAAAACAAAAAACACCACACAAACCTGAAAGTAGAAGCATTTAAAAATGTAAGACATAAATGGACATTTTCCAAATCCTTTTACAAGTAAATAATCCACTATCCTGTCACTACAAGCATTTACATTTTCATGTTCACAATTCAGGTACAGATTTGTCTGAACCAGTGATTTTTCAAAAACATAAGACAAACTGTTACTATGTTTAGTGATTGTATTTTCAGCTTTACTTCAACTTCCTTTTGTTTTTCTGGGCTTACAGGTACTTCTCTCATTAACTGCAAAGTAATACTGATGTACACCAAAACCACAAGTAATACAAAGAATTTAGAGACTGATTTGAACTTAAGTCAGTGGAGAAGAAAAACGCTCTTCTGACATAGTACTACTTAAAGGGATGCGATACTTCATGTTTACACTATCCTCTGAAACAAACAGATTTACACTTGGTTCCAATACAAGATTTCCTATTCTTTAAAAAAGCAGTTAATATACAACAGCTAAAGTAATAAAGCATGTTATTCAGATATACCTAAACAGAGTATAAAACAGTGGTTTTGCCTGTTTTTGTGAATAGCTAACCTGTTTTGCTCTTAGATTAAGTTAACACAAAGAAGCAGGGATTTTGAAATACAGACTACATTGTTAAATTCAATGTTCCACCCACTTCCTCCTGCTTCCACTGAAAGTAAATCACATCCAACACAACAGCTTAATTAAAAATTTTGCTACCGTTCTCATGTATGGCCACACAGGTAAATTATATATTGAGGGAGAAAATAACCTTGGTTAGTCAATGGGCAACCTTCCGATGGCAAAACTGTCATTTAAATCTTTTACTCTTAATTAAAAGAGCATACAATACCAAAAGCTGCCAAGTTGCAGGTTGAAGAATACTTTCCTTCCAATTATCCTCAAAGTATTCAACCTCAGCTACAGCAACAGACTACCACCTTAGATACAAAAAGGCAGCAACAAGTCGAACGCTCTACTCTGCTTCTATTTGAAGACTTGCAACTTTACATTTAGGAGACCTTCAGGAAAATTTAAAGCTGGAGATAGCAAGAACTGCTTGACTTGATTGTTCTATTGGTATGGTTACAGATGTTTCCTTTAGGTGACCTACATGAGAGCTTTAAAACCTTATTATTACACTTTTATAAATCTGTTTAGTTTAGGAAGTCAAACAAAATACAGTATTTCAGCCAGATCTGAAGATACTATCCACATTGTTGATGTTCTGGGAAATCTAGTATTCTATTTAGCGCATATAGAATTCATAGAACTGTTTAGGTTGGAAGGGACCTTCAAGATCATCAAGCTCAACCATTAATCTAACACTGCCAAAGCCACCACTAAACCATGTCCCTAAGCACCATGTCTACCCATCTTTTAAATACTTCCAGAAATGGCAACTCCACCACTTCCCCGGGCAGCCTGTTCCAATGCTTAACAGCTCCTTCTGTGAAGAACTTTTTCTTAATATCCAACCTAAACCTCCCCTGGCACAACTTGAGGCCATTTCCTCTTGTCCTAATAGTAATACTGATACAGTCAAATGAGATCACATTGCTTATACAGTTAAAACTAAGCTTTAAAAATGTGATGTTAGCTCTTTGATTAGTTAATCTAAAAAACTGAGGAATCTTTTATCAATGACATTTTTATTCCTCTCAAATATCAGTCAAGTTTACCTTTTTCTTTTTCTGAAGCACGTGATTAGGTAGCAGTTGGTGAAGTTGCTTACGTTTCACATGCCTTGCAGCAATCTTCATATCCATCTCAAACATCTTGCTGTTTATTGCTTGCCTATAAACTACACAATTAGAATAACATTAAGACATATTGAAGCATTTTGCAAAGTCCACTTACTTGCCCAGGCAGGAACAGTTTGCATTTCAGAACATTTATTACCCTCAAGAACAAGCATAGTGCTCCCTTGCTCTGGAAGAAGAAAGTCAACTGCCTATTACGCCAGCACTGATAGTACAAACACTAAAACGTTACTTTGGAAACAGGTGACCTGTTTTCCGAGAAAAATCTCTTGCAAGCACGTAGTTCTCTAAACTATTGGTAACAAGTTTTAACAGTAACAGCTCTGAAGTGAATTCTTCATTTCATCTCAAAGGGACTAAAGATAGAAATAAGATTTCCTCATAAGAATTACAGTATTTACATAAAACTATTTTCTACACAGTTGATTCAGCTTTTATTTATGCTGTTCCTACAGCAAATGGGTTCTAATTCAGGAGCTGAATGCTTGTGTGCCAACTAATATATTACAAATCATTCTGGCAACTTAGATACCACTACATTTTTATACAGAAGTGATTTGTGTTTGTTTTTTTCTGCTCTGTGGGGGTTTTTTTGTTGTTGTTTTTTTCTTTAATTATGTCTACTGTTACGAGCTATTTCTCTTCACTTCATAACTTTTACTTCCGGTGAGTCAACCTGGTTAGTACTAGTAAAGGAACAACACTGCAACCAAACATCTTGGATTCAAGTCAAGCCAGGTAAAAATGAAGAATCTGTTGTTCTTTCACACCGACCTTCTATATAATGTTGAACACAAGCTGTGGCAGACGTAGGACTAAAAAAAAATTGTTCTGTAGATCTCAAATACAAAAACTTAAGAGGCGTCTCCCTTATTCACTGTCTATTCTACAAACATTAAGGAATCTCACTGAATAGGCTGTGAACATGCAATTAAAAAGCTGTTAAGAGACAGACACACAAAGAGCTCAGTGAACACTGCATATTAAAAAGCCTAGTATGCTAATTCTTGGTATTCAATAAGCTCATAAAGCCTCTACGTAAAGATTATACAAGTTACAGTTAAGTTATGGGCATGCTCAGGAAAGCGAGACGTGGTTAAAGCATTCCGTATTCCTCACATTAGGTCTCAGCAAAGTTTGAATACAAGGAAAACCTAGCCTACTCTTCATGGCTTTCTTCCTCCCCCCGCTCCCACTAACGAGCAAGCTATTCCCTAATTTCATTCTTGAAAATGCTTCAGTAGTTTTGATAAAATCTTAGGATCTATTCTAAAGGACAGGGCAAACAGCAGTTTTCGGGACAGATTAAAAACACTGAAGACAGACCCACATTCATTTGAGATGACAAAGAAACCCAGAACACAAATGCAGAAATTGTTTGCTAATTGGTCACCTTTGCAAGCGTATTTACAAACTGAACAGAGAACTATGCATCACAATCTACAATGATTTTGATGAAATTATACTTCATTTATAATTGCATATATTTAGACTTCTAAGTCCTCACTTCTAGGTTGAGTCTTAGAAATCCAGAGACAAGGGTTGTATTAGGTAGCACTTGAATCTATTCCTTTAACTCTGTAAACATGTAATACTTGAGCCTTAACTGTCATTTGTTTAAAAAAAGATATTGTAAATTTATTTGATAAGCTTATCAAAGGTACTGTTCCTTTCTTAAGATTCAAGTCACACTCTCCAGCTGTTACCAATTCTTTCCTTACAATTTTCTCATGCACGTTCTAAATTATTTCTGTGAATCAAAGAGTGAACATCAGAAAGTTACTGAATCAACTAGTTAGCATGAAACTCCATGGAATAAAAGCTTTTTTGTTCTAGAGTCTGCTAGATACTCAGCTGCAATCCACTGATCAGTATTTTTATTACTTGGTGAAACTGAATTTAACTATACACGTATTGTCAAACTGAGAATAGGCTAGGTAGTTTGCATATAACAACCAACTTGTCTGTTTAATAAAGATCACTTTTAATGAGATCTGAAAGATTTGTGTGCATCATTCTAACCACTTTTAATGAAAACAAACTGAAAATTATTAGATTGAAGTGTCTAGAAGCTTTAAAACTGTATTTTATTAAATAACACCCTAACTCCTTAGCTGAATCCTTCTACTCTGTTTAGATACAATTCTACAACTGAAACAGATTACAATACGAACAAAGACAGTAACTTCAACAAGTGTATTAATACCAGAACATCTAGAAAGCAAGACTCACCTGTGTCTGTAAAAGACTGAATGTCGTAGGTAAGATCAACACTTAAATTTTCCGAATTTTCAGTTTTCTTAAACACCAACCCAATCACCCACATTGTACGGTATTCTTCCCTGGAAAATTTTACATAAAACAGTCATATAATACTCATGAAGAACTGAATAATCTAGTAAGTTATCTGCTGCAATAGACCACAGTTGTACATTTTAGCTCCACAAGCAACGGGGAGCTAGCCATGAAAAGGCAAAAAACAAAGCTGACTTGACATTCTTTTCATTTGCAATACAAAAAAAGTCATGAAACACTGACACATCTATCTTCAGCAAACCTAATGAACTAACATCACCAGTAGATTGCTTCATTCAACTGTGTTTCTGTATAGATTCTCTCATTTTTAGGAGTTACAACTAGCCATCACAACTGTAAAGGAAATAGATTTGAAAAGAGGTAACGGATTTTGAGCACCTGACCCTGAAAGTAGTTAGAAACTATTGCCTGACTAAACAACTTCTATTTTGCCACTTGAACTTGTTTTCAACTCTCAAATTTCTTGGCTGTAACTGACCATAAAGTGCACTTTTCAGGTAGGAAGAGCTTCCCTTTAACAGCTCACCTTTCACATCATATACCTGGAAGATGAACTATTATATTCTATTACAGAATACAGTGGAACACTCCTCTAGTGGCTCAAGACATTTAATGTTTTAATTCAAATGCCCTTCCCCTGTCAGAGTATTTCAGAACAACACTGTTTTCCAATCAATCAATGAGAAAATTTAGGCAGGCAGGTGAAAGAACATACATTATTTACATTGTAAAAGTGTCCTTTCCTAAAAAGGTGGCCCGCATCAAGTCCTCTGAAATAAGAGCTGATGAGCCCGTGATTATGCAGGCAGTTGTAGCTGTATTTACCCACTACAATGTTGCTGAAGAGGTACCGCCTGCGTTTGTCCAATTTTACTTGGAACATGCATGTAATTTATGTATATAACTTAAAAAAATAGCACCATACTGTCACTTGAAGTAACTGATGTCTGGAAAAGGCTGTGTGGAAGGTAAACAAGGCTTGTCACATATTCCCAATGAAGACAAAAATGTCTTCACCGTTCTCACACTTCACACAAAAATACGATTCCTTAAAAGATAATTACAACACTATCTAGAAATAAAATAGAGTCTTAAAAGGAGTTTTTAGCCCACACACCTGCAAGCATTGTTTTGAGTAGGGGAGTAGAGGGTGGTAGCGGGGGAAAGGAGTTGAAAAAAATATAATCCTAAACAAGTGCTTGGTATTCTTTCCACTGTTTCCACAACCCAAGGAATTCTAACATCAGCCATTATCAAGTTTAAATGATATGCATGTCAACTGCTAAATTTAATAACATTAATGATATTTATAACATTAAACTCAAGATTTCAGTTCTACTGTGCCTGATATTCTACCCGATTCTCAGTGCTGCCTCATAATTAAAACTGTCTTACCGACTGATGCTAGATGCTCAAACAACAGCAAAGTTGCAGCAGATAACACGGATTATTGGCAAGAAATTATGCAATTAATAGCTATTAGCAAAAATATATTCTTTCCTTGAAGTTATTTTCTGGCTTAGAAACATTCTTAGACAGAATAAAGATTATCTAGTTTTCCAAATAGTACTTGTAAAGAGCTTAGAACCGCTTGCCTTTAGATGCTGTCATTAAAAATTAATTTAAGATTCTATAAAAATGCTACTTTATTAATGAATTGGTATTTTAGCTAAGCTAGTTCCTCACCATTACATGAAAAAAGACTTTTGCTTACTTGTCAGGATTCTCCTTGGGTGCTGGGAACGACTGTGGATTCACATGAGCCAGTGTAATGAATTCGTTCTTCTCCAGGTTTCCAACTAGAATACGGATTTTTGATTCCACCAAGCCCACCCTGCATAAACGTCATTTATTAGCAAGTTCTCATTCATATGAAATAATAGAAGTATCTAACATCATATATCAGGATAAAATCCTCGATACTCTCCTCATACTAATATTTGAGACGACACATGAACTAGCTATACACGACAGATTAATTCAGATCAATAAACCCAAGTGAACGCGTTACAAAAGCTAATGCAAGGGAAGCCTCAGAATGCCCTGAAGCTCTCTTTATGGCCCAATTTTACAAAAGGAATTAAATAGCAAGACATTAGACATCAAGTAAAAGGCAAGTCAGCAAGAAACTCCTACGTATTTCTCCAATATTCTTTTGGCTCCAGATGATGAATTTTGAAGTTGAAGAAACTCCCAATACCTGACAATCTTAAAACTTCTCATAAAAGCCAGGAGAAAGATGGAAAGAGGCATTTTGGTTTTCAGAAACAGTATTTCAAGAGATTGAAAATGTGCCTCCTCACACTGATTATTAAAAAACGTGTATAAGACTTAAGAAAATAAGACTTGTTAACTGAACCTGACAGCGCTGTAAAGAAGGAAAATTCAAGCAACAGCCTTCTCTCCCTGGTTCTTCACTTTTACGGTTTTTCAGAAGTGTACCATCTTCATCCATTTAATTTTGGAACATTGAAGGCTCCACTTTGTGTCATTAAAAAGATAGCAGATACACTAGATATTCCCTTTCATCCAAGGTTGACAGGTTTTTGTTTGTGTTTATTGTTTTTTGTTTTTCTTTTAAATAGCAAGCATCGTACTCACCATTCTAGTCGCTGTTTTTCTGTCGGTGCGCTTGCTAGAAGTACAATATAATGCCTTTGGAGATAAAGACAATATGCTATTCTATTTATACTTCTAAAACTAGACATTCAAACCTTAATATTAAAACTTTGCTGTAAGTTCTACATTGCAAACTACAGATTATTAGCTTAAGCATATACCCTATAATACAATTAAGTATTATTAAGTAGACAAAGGGGCTATGTCCCCCAAGTATGTGCCTAATGGACTTCTCAAAACAGTCTGGATTTTAGGGACGTTTGGGACTAGATTTTAATACCAGTAACCTTAATAAAAGGCTAGTTGACAAACAGTACAGGTATTTCAATACCTAATGAGATCAGGCATTTAACTGACAACTAGAGATTTCTTGCAAGTAAAAACAATTGTTCACAACCGTCTACATGTGTCAGTTGTCTTAGTCGCAACATTATTTCTGAATAGTTAGAGGACTGGTTAGCACATATGCATTTGTTCAAAGTCAAAAATAACACTATCAAATGTGTTTTAAAAAAAAAAAGAAAACAACTGCATTTTAGAATTGTCTGAAGACACTTATCTGAAACTTCATAAGGAATGTTTCCTCTGATGACAATTCTTAAGCTCTCAATTATATTCCAGGATAATCAGTGTATACCCACTGTAAGTAAATTTCAAAGAAACAGTATACAAAGCAAGAATGGTATTTTAAACAAAGAAGCCCAAGGACAGTGGAACAGGAGATGATTACTTCTAACTAAAGTTCATAATGAGGGAGGTGGGGGAACCTTACACACCTACAGTAAAGTTTTTCAGAAGTTTAGTTGGGAAGTCTATTTTAACATCCTAAGTCATCCAACTTGGCATTACTCTATACTGGTATGGTATATTTAGGTACCTTCAGAGCAGGATTTAAAGAACAGTAGTAACATGAGGGATTAGACCCTGGTACATAAGCCTCATAGAAAGGAATGCAAGGTGAAAAACTATAGTGCAAGAAGAGTCCTCCTATCCTATAAGCTCTCAAATCACAACAGTAAATCAAAATCAACAGATCAAATCAGTAACTACATGTTTCTGTACTTATCTTTAGGTGGCAAAAGAAAAAAAACCTGCTAAATGCTACAGTCCTTTGGATTCAGTCAGAGAATGTCAATGAAATACGAGGACTGGACAAGAGAGTTCTGGAGAACCTTCTTCCCCCTTCTGAATAGGGCATTTTATCTACTTATTTTTTGCGTTCTGGCAGTATTAAATGCTCCATACAAAAACGCTGAGGAGTTTTTCCTGTTATCCTATTGAAATTCTCATTTTAGTTACTTGGAGAATATCACAACTCTATCATACATATTCCTTAAAAAAAAAAAATAAAAGAAAGGAAAGAGGTAATAAGGGTCATTTACTCAAATTCCAAATAAGAAGTTACTGACTTCTAATATCAATTTCTTCTAAAAAGCACTAGATATGCAACTATCAACCATAAGATTCCTACATCATACATACTACACACACTTGCAGAATGTTTCATTCAGTAGGAAAGACAAATTAAGCTTTCTGTTGTTTTTAACTATGTATGAACTGAAAGAGACAAATCTCAAATCTGCAAGTATTTGAAGAAGCTCATTTTCCAGTTACTTATTAACAGCAGTTCTTCGAAACAAACGTCCTAAGAACAATGTTTTAAAACACTGAATTTGACTATGTCTAAAAGCCTCAACTAGCTGGTGAGCACCTCAGAAAAAAACCCTAAGCCTTATTTATGAAAATGATTAGCTATTGTTGCTGAGGCAGTGCTAGCTAAAAAAGAAAAAGATGCAATTTCTCCCACCCCAGCTGTTAAACAGTGCTGAAAGGGAATTAATCACTGAAAATCCGCTATTGCCATTTTCAGTAAAACTTAAATAGCCCAAGCTGTTAAAAACTAAGACATACTTGGAGGACAAGGCCTCACTGCTAAATTTTACGGAGACAAGCTTTGTTATCAGTTCATCATTCATAATTTTATCACAAAGTAGTCTAATTCAGAAGTATCCATTACTTCATGATAAAGAAAAAAAGAAATCTGAAGTTAATCTACCTCTCAATGGTGATTTTTAGATGCAGGGTATTACTTTGAAGTATATGGGTTTGGTCTTTATGTTTTGGTTTTGTTTGGTTGGGGTTTTTTTTGTTGTTGTTGGTTGGGTTTGTTGTTGTTTGGGCTTTTTTTTTGGGGTTTTTTTTTTTTTTTAGAAACTGGTGCTGTTTCTTTCCCACTGTCTCCCTATCAGCATTACATTTTCATTAAAATAACCTGATGTAGATATTATGGAACTGTTTTACACTATTAACATCTGTACCTACAAAAAACCAAAGTATTTTTAAGAGTCGTATTACTTTCTGAAGAAACTGAGAACACCTGAACACTCTTATTTCAACTTTTCTTTATTAAGCTGTCCAGGATTTACACTATAAATTATCCAGTGATTTAGATATGGTTCTATCAAGGCAAGTGTTCAAAGTACCTTTTTATAAGGTATGTTTGTTTAAATTCTACTCACTTAGCAGGATATCTGTCTTTGTAACAGAGAAACAATATGCTAGAGCTCATTAAATAAGTTATTTTTCTCATGGTCATACTCCCCTCTTGGTTTTAAGCTCTAATAATTTCCCTTCTCATGTAACATTTCATACTTATGTTATACTCATTTGAAATCATTCGTCATTTCTCTGTAAAACACCATATCCAGCAAGTGTATGTTCTTGTTGTTTCCCCTCCATCTGAAAAATTTAAACCTACATGAACGGCAGATAACACATTGAAACTCCCTAACTCCAAGTAACTATTGACATTTTACAAATAAGAGAAATAAATAAAATAAATTAAACCAGATTTCCCTATTTTCCCAGTTTCTAATCTGCTCCGGCCATGCAGGTATGCAGTAGCCTCCAGGTTTCCTTAGTCACACATCATTGAAGTTTGTTTATTTTAAACACAGCTAACAAGTTAAAAGTGTTTATGATCACCACAGATGTTTAGCAACTAATTGCCATTGAGAGTGATACAGATTACTAGAGCTATGATTTCAGAGAAGACGAGAAATGTTTTTAAAAGTATGCCTCAGAGCAAGGACCAGATCTTCT